TTTAAATGTCATGTTCATGGCAATTCCTTACAATCAGGAATGTGAACTGGTGTCAGCCACATGCAAGGCAAACACCTTAGCCCCTGTAGTTTCTCTCCATTCCTCTTTACTAGATTCTTTTTGATGTTTTGTTTTTGGATCATACTTGTCAATGCTTAGGTGTTAATCCTGGCTCTGTGCTCAGGAATTACTCCTAGCAGTGGTCAAGGATGCTAGGGATCAAACCTGGGGTGGGAATATGCAAGGGAAATGTCCTATCCACTGCACTATCACTCTGCCAACATTTACTAGATTCCTGAAGTGGACACTTAGATTATTTATTTGATCATGTTTCCTTTTTTAAAAAGTATAGACATCCAATAGTATGAATTTCTCACAAAAATGTTATTCAAAATGTTCGCCTGTCTTGGAGAGCCCGGCAAGCTACCGAGACTATCTCGCCGGCACGGCAAAGCCTGGCAAGCTACCCATGACGTATTCGATATGCCAAACATAGTAACAATTGTCACAATGGAGATGTTACTGGGCCCGCTCGAGCAAATCAATGAACAATGGGAGGGCAGTGACAGTGACAGTGAAATTGCAAACATTTTTCCTCTTTTACCCATAAAATAGAAGTGGACTGTTTAATTTCAAAGTATTTGGAAAATTCTGTGGTATTTTTCTGTTACTGATGAATAATTTAACATATACTTTGAACAGATACAAATACAAAGAGTATACTTTGAACAAATACACTATTATTTGTATGATGAATGCTTTTGTTATGTATAGGTTAACTCTATTAAGCTAGAGACAAAGAATATATTTTGCATGAATAAACATTGTATAAAAATTTCTTAAATATAATCATTTAGGAAAAAAAATGTCACAAAAGTGTACAAAAGGGGCTGGAGCAATCCCTGGCATTCCATATGGTTCACCCAAGCACAGCCAGGACAATTTCTGAGTGCAGAACCAGGAGTAATTTGGCTCAGTGATTCCTGAGAATCACGGGGATATGGCCCCAAAACAAACAAACAAAAAAAAGTTTACAAAGGAATAACAAAAATCTTGTGTGTGATATTGCCAATTTAGCTTGAGTGAGTAGTTTGAATGAAAAAATGTAATGGGAAAATTTGAGACATGTGATAAACAGATGAATTTTGGGAAGTACAGTGCTTGGAGTGTCCCATAAGTTATTACTCCTGTTTTACAGATGTTGACTTTGCTCTGAGTGTGTGGAACAAAAGTATCTCTTTTACCTCCATTATCCTACAGCCTAAAGTTGCTAGAAGCTGTTTACAAAGAAGTGGATAGTTTCATATTATGGGGAAAGTAGTGTATTCAACCATTCTTGAGAAGAGTTGAAAACAAAAGATGTAGCTAACAATCCACAGGTAATTATATGTTCTTAAATTTTCTTTAGATTTTAAATAATCTGAAGGTGCATTTTAATGAATATTGTCAGATTACATTGGAATTATTTTTTCAGTTGAATAAATACAACAGTTAAGATATTTTTAAAAAAATACTACAGAGCTAGAGACAAAGCCAGAGCAATGGTACAGTGGCCCTTGCATGCGGCCAACCCAGGTTGGATTCCTGGCATCCCATACGGTCCCCCAAACACTACCAGGAGTAATTCCTGAGTGCAGAGCCAGGAGTAACCCCTGAGCATGCCAGATGCTAGGCGTGGCCCAAATATGAAAAAAAAATTACAGGGCTGGAGAGACAGTACAGTGGGTAGGGCACTTGCATTACACACGGCTCACCTGGGTTTGATCTCTGGCATCCTATAGAATCCCCAGAGCCCACCAGGAGTGTCCTGAGCACAGAACTAGGAGTGATCCCTAAGCACAGAGCCAGGAGTAAACCCTGAGCACCGCCATGTGTGGTCCAAACCCCCTCCCCCTCCAAAAAAAAACATCCCTTCATCCCTCTGGGACAAATAATTCATCCAGCATTTCTCCAGGACTCTCTTCTACACGTATCTCAGTCAGAGAATAAAGACACCCTTTTCTCTTTGCCTTTCATGATTCTCCCAGTCCAACCATGGGGATCTGTTTAAGGTTGACTGCTCACGGCTCTAGGCTTTTTCATTCCCAAGCAATGCCACCACTCTGCAGACCCTGTTATTCTCCTTCGGTGGAAGCACGTCCTGAGACACCAACCACATTAGCATACTTGTAGTTGCCTAGTACTTAATGTAGCCTTGCCTGGTTATACACCCCATCTCATTTGGTTTGAGTGAGCTAAGTAATGGCTCTTCATTGGTGCCCCCATCTTTTACTTTCACTTGTCTGGCAGCATGAGACCAAATATCTTGCCCCTGCTCTTTGCTTTCATCTTTTTTTATTTTTCCCACTGGCCTTGCTTGTGCTCCCAGGGTAGGTATTTGATGATGTGAACTGCTTGCCTTGTTCTTCTTTACTCTGAAGGAAACTCCCAACAGTTGTAAACAACTTTTTCTTTTTTAATTAAAGCCCCCAAACAAAGAGGTAATGTCTGTAAGAACATTTGCTGAACCAGAAAGGGCTATCCAAATGTTACTTAGGCGCAGAGGAGATGGAGGAGGTGAAACAAAGGCTCTGGCACCTGACAAATCTGGGCTCTAATCCCAGCTCTGCTCTTTAGCTCCCAGCAAGCCACTTCACCTCCATTGGCCTGTTTGTGCATCTGTAAATGAGGGAGGCCCTACTAACCTCACAAGGTAGGAGATATGGCTAAGGAGAAAAGTAAGTTAAGTATGCAAAAAAAAGCACTTTTTAGAGAGTAAAGGGTCATTACTGCTACCCGTCAGAATAGACCATGGTCAACCCCCCTTAGGCCTAGAGAGCAAAGGTCACAGTGAAATGAAGAGTCCAGAAACAGCCCTCAGCTGGGTCCCAGCTTTGAACCGGTTAGCAGTCTGGACTCTGAATACAGAAAGACTCCACAGATTCCAGCTGATAAATGTCCTTGCAGGAATCCTGTTGAGCTTCCCCAATACTCACCTCCCCACTCTATCTGTACCTTCATGTTGATCTGCCATGAGTCACTGGAGTCAGAAAGTTCAAGGAATAATTCAGAGATTTCTGAATATCCATCCTGACATCACATGCCCTCAACGTGCCAAACCCAGAAGAGACCAGATTTGACACAGAGCCTCTCTTTTCACCTGCCCCTAAGGCAACTCTCCCAGAACCAAGGGGGCATTCTTGTCTCCCAAGAAGCTCCAATCCAGAAACAACTTTTCCAAAGCTCACTTCCTCCAAGGCTCCCTCAGACCCAAACTGGGAGGAAATTCTTCCTGCTCCTCAATGGAAGACTTCTTCCTCAGATGGACTATGAAGCATCCTCTAACCCTGTAGGGCTAGGATTTCCTACCTGGGAGTGGGGCTTGGGTCTGAGAAATGTTGGGATGAGAGAGGAAGAGGGAAACAGAAACAGACAGGGACACAGGCTCTAGACAGAGCCCCAGGTTCCATAGCTGGTGCTGCAGAGTCTCCTGAGCCCTGCCAGAACTGACTCTGAATACTGGGACAGGAGTTACCCCTGAACACAGCCAAAACCAAGGTGTGACCCCCAAACCAAGGATGGAGAGCTATTCCAGTGCCACGTAGCTAGAAAATATGGTCTCAGGTGAAGTGTGAAGGCTGTCTTCGTGGGCTTGGCAGGATCAGAGTGTCCATGCTCTACAGGAACTTGTCTAGGCTTGGATGAGTCCCAATCTCTCTGGGCATTCACTCTATTGACAACACTCCTTTAGCACAAAATAATTCCCTAAGCACATGTGGGATATTCCATTAAGGTAGTGGGACTTAACCATAGTTACAGATTGAAATCACAAAGAATTTAGGTGTGAGGTGGAGGTGGGACTACACTTGGTATTGCTCTGGAGACTATGTGGTGCCAGGGATTTAATCAGGCTTAGCTGCCTGCCTGGCAGACTCTCCTATATCTCTCTAGTCCCAAGACTTTAATTTAGACCAAGGAAATCTTCTCTAGAAAAGGGATCCAGTTATGTGAGATCTATGTGTACTTAAAATGGCTGGAGCAATAGCACAGCGGTAGGGCATTCGCCTTACAAGCGGCCAACATGGCCAACCCGAGTTCGATTCCTCCGCCCCTCTCGGAGAGCCCGGCAAGCAACTGAGAGTATTCGATATGCCAAACACAGTAACAACAAAGTCTCCAATGGAGACGTTACTGGGCCCGCTCGAGCAAATCGAGGATCAACGGGAGGGCCTTTACCTTTACCTTTACACATATTGCTATCATTTATTTATTTAGTTGTCTGGGGCCATACTCAGCAGTGCTGAGGGCTTATTCTGTGCACAGGAATCACTCCTGGTAGGCTCATGGGACAATATGAGGTGTAGGGTTTCAAACCTGGGTTGGCCACATGCAAGGCAAATTCCCTACCCACTGGACTATTGCTCTGGCCTCCTATTGTTATTTTTAAAACTATTATTTATGGGGATGGAGCAATAGCACAGCAGGTAGGGCATTTGCCTTTCATGCAGCCGACCTGGGTTCGATTCCCAGCATCCCATATGGTTCCCTGAGCCATAGGAGTGATTCCTGAGTGCAGAGCCAGGAGTAACCTCTGTACATCACCAGGTGTGACCCAAAACCAAAAAGCAAAAAAAAAAAAACCCAAAAAACTATTATTTATTTGGGGAGGGAAGACTTTCCAGAAGTGCTTAAAACCCTGGAAATACTCACCTTGGGTGTGTGAGCCTGATGACTTCTGTGCTTCGCCCAGTGAAGTGCTGCTTCTCTGGCTGTTGGTGCTGAGGGCCACAAGGACCACCCCAGCAGGTTTCAGGTTACCTCGCAGTGCCAGGGATAGAACTTTGAACCTTGTGCATGTAATGTATGTGTGCCAGTCCTTTGAGCTGTCTCCCCAGGCTCTCTGGGTAATTTTCTGATTCTTTATTTTGTTTTGGGCCCCCAGAGTCCCTCTCTACCACCTAGCCTCACATAGCTCCCCCTGGCAAGGAACTTTATGGAACAGGAAGTCCCTTCTTCCTTACCATGTCCTTAAAGCCTCCCAGGACTGCAGCTGTGATGATGCCCAGGAACAGACCGACGATGTTGAGGATGGTGGCAGACCAGAGCAGGTGGTAGAGATGGATGATGTCCTGGCAGCTGCTGACATCAATGTATTCATAGTAGCCACCAGTGATCTCCACCCGGCTGCACAGGGAGAAGGAAGTTCAGTCAGTTTCCAGAGAGCAGACCTGTCCACTAAAACTCTAGCTTCCATGGAAGTTGGGCAAGACAGGTAGCTGGTGTGGGGGACATAGCATAAGGGATATCATAGACATGAATGCACTTGGGGAACAAGACATTATAATTGGTTAAAACATAATATCTCATTATTCAAAAAGATTGACTTGTCAGAGAAACTCTCATTCCCATCACTTTTATATTAATCCCAGAGAATGCTTACTGATAGTTCCTATGGACCAGGCCATAGTTAAGCATTTTATATGTGTGAATTCATTCTCTAAGCTGTCGAATAGTTAGCTACTAGTCACACCTGGCTATTTAGATTTAAATTAACTTCCAGTAAAGGGACCTGAAAATGGGTGGGCTGGGTGTCATCTCCACTACCAAATTCCCCCCTCCCCAACCCCATCCTTCTCAGGTGACCCCTATAGGTACGCAAGACCTGCCAGAGTGGCTCAGGTCATCTCCAGTACCATAAGACCCAAGCAATGTTGTATCCTCAGATATAGCAATGAATCACCAATTCAGATAGCTGAGGAGAATGGCTCTGTGGGGACCCTTGAGCACCACTTGGGAGATTCCAAAAGTAAATTTTTCTGTTTGTTTGGGGGCCACACCAGTGATGCTCAGGAGTTACTCCTGGCTCTGCACTCAAGAATTAATCCTGGTGGTGCTTGGGGGACCATATGAGAAATGCCAGGAAATTGAACCCAGGTCAGCTGCATACAAGGCAAGCGCCCTACCCATTCTTTAGAGCCCCAGTAAAATAATTTTTCAGGGGCCAGAGAGATAGTACAGCAGGTAGGGCATTTGCCTTGCACAAAGCTGACCTGGGTTCGATCCCCGACATCCCATATGGTCCCCTGAGTACCACCATGACTAATTCCTGAGTCATGAGCCAGGAGTAACCTCTGTGCATCGCTGGGCATGACCCAAAAGAAGCAAAAAAAATTTTTTTGCTTTGGGGCCACCCCTGGCAGTGTTCAGGGCTTACTATTGGCTCTGAACGCATGGATTACTCCTGATTGGCTTGGGAAACCATATGGGGTGCAGGAAATTCAAATTGGGTCAGCCTTGTGCAAGACAAATACCCTACCTGCTGTATTACTGCTCCAGTCCAAGAGTGTTTTTTTTTTTTTGCTTTTTGGATCACACCCGGTGATACATAGGGGTTATTCCTGGCTCATTCACTCAGGAATTACTCCTGGTGGTGCTTAGGGGACCATATGGGATGCTGGGAATCGAAACCGGGTCGGCTGCATGCAAGGCAAATACCCGACCTGCTGTGCTATCGCTCCAGACCTCCCCAAGAGTATTTTTAAGAATTAAGTTACATAAAATGGATTAAAGACCTCAATATCAGACCAGAAACCATAAGGTACATTGAAGACAAAGTTGGCAAAACCCTCCATGACATTGAAGCTAATGGTATCTTCAAAGATGCCACGCCACTGGCCGAGCAAGTGAAAACAGAGATAGATAAATGGGACTATCTTAAACTAAGAAGCTTCTGCACCTCCAAAGAAACAGTGACCAAAATACAAAGACAGTCTACAGAATGGGAAAGAATATTCGCCGAATACACATCTGACAAGGGGTTGATATCCAGGATATACAAAATACTGGTTAAACTCCACAAGAAGAAAACATCCAACCCCATCCAAAAATGGGGCAATGAAATGAACAGAAAATTTCTCAAAGAAGAAATCCGAATGGCAAAAAAGCACATGAGAAAATGCTCTACATCATTAATCATCAGGGAGATGCAGATCAAAACCACAATGAGATACCATCTCACACCTCAGAGACTGGCCCAAATTCAAAAGAACAAAAGCAACCGATGCTGGCGCGGATGTGGCGAGAAAGGGACACTCCTTCACTGTTGGTGGGAATGTCGACTGGTTCAGCCCTTCTGGAAAACAGTATGGACGATTCTCAAAAAATTAGAAATTGAGCTCCCATTTGACCCAGCAATACCACTCCTGGGAATATATCCCAGAGAGGCAAAAATGTATAGTCGAAGTGACATCTGCACTTGTTTGTTCATTGCAGCACTCTTTACAATAGCCAGAAACTGGAAGAAACCTGAATACCCAAGAACAGATGACTGGTTAAAGAAACTTTGGTACATCTACACAGTGGAGTACTATGTAGCTGTTAGAAAAGATAAAGTCGTGAAATTTACATACAAGTGGTACAACATGGAAAGTATCATGCTAAGCGAATTGAGTCAGAAAGAGAGGGATAGACATAGAAAGATTGCATTCATCTGGGGGATATAAAGTAACAAAATATGAGATTAATACCCAAGAATAGCTGATATCAGCACCAGGAGGATTACTCCATAGCTTAGTGGCCAGCCGGGCATTCTAGAGGAAAGGGCAGCTCAGATAGAGAAGGGAGCACCAAATAAAGGGTGTTTGGAGGATCCTCCCAGGAGGGGAGATGCATGTCGAAAGTAGACTATGGACTGAACATGTTTGCCACTCAATGCCTCTTTTGCAGACCACAACACCCAAAAGGAGAGAGAGAACACAGGGGATTGCCCTGCCACAGAGGCAGGGGGGCATGGGGGGATGGGGGTGGGGGGGATATTATCCATGGTGGTGGAAAATGGGCACTGGTGGAGGGATGGGTATCTGATCATTGTATAATCGAAACCCAAGCACAAAAAATTGTAAATCTACAACTGTACCTCATGGTGTTTCACTAATAAAAAAAAATCAAGAAAAAAAGCTTAAAGTAGTGGAATGATAATAAGCAAAATAACATTTTATTTCTTTACATTTGTATTGAATAAATGAAAATTAAAAAAAGTCAGTTCTTCATTCTAACTAGCCACATTACAAGTGCTCAACAGTGACACGTTGAAAGCCACACTAGTGACAATATAAGAAAGAGCAGGTTACATTTCCATCACTGTAGAGCAGTCTAGTACACCACACTGCAAATCTATGAGGAGGGTACTATCATCATTCCTATTCCCATTCACTTTTTACAGCTAGAGAAAACTGAAATACAGAAAGGTGAGGAACTTGCCCAAATCCTAACTGGTAGAATCTGAATTTAGGCTTTAAAGATTTTGGTATTTCCTCTCTCCAAACAAAACAAAACACCAAGCAGGAAAACACAGGGTCCCAATAATGAACCACAGACTAGTTGCTACCCCAAACCTGATTATTACCTCCCTGACCACTTCATCTAAATACCCGTCCTGGGCTCAGGGTGCTGTTTCAACAAAAAAGAAATTGCCTTACATACGTGAGGTCCTGAGATCCATAAACAGCCCCCACACACAAATAAAACACAAAGATACTCCAACCCACAACCATCCCAGAAGAAGAGTGATCTGTTGCCTTTTTGGGAGGGGGGTGGGAGGAGTATGTAGTTTGGGTTATACCCAGTAGTGCTCAGAGCTTACTCCTGCCTCTGCTCAAGGATCACTCCTTGTGGACTCAGGGGACTACCTGGGTCGGCCATATGCATGGCAAGTGCCCTACCCTCTATACTATCGTTCTGCCCCTGAGAGTGATCTCTTTCTTTTATACACATGCACACAGTACCATGTGAGAAGACAGTGAAGAGGCAGCCATCTGCAATGCAGACAGAAAGCCCTCACCAGAACCTATGATCTCAGACTTGCAGCCTCCAGAACTAGGTAAAAATGACTGACTATAATTTAAGCTACCATGTCTATGGTATTTTATTATGGCAGTTCAAGCTGACTACTACATCACCTTTCTCTAATTCTTCTATAACTCTCTTTTTTTTTTGTTTTTGGGCCACACCTAGCAAGACGCAGGGATTACTCCTGCCTTTACATTCAGGAATAACTCTTGGCAGAACTCAGAGTACCACATGGGATGCCAGAGATCAAACCCAGGTGGGGCATGTGCAATGCCAGTGCCCTACCCACTTTGCTCTGGATCCAATGTAGCTCTCATTCTTTACAAATGTGTTTACTACACAACTGTCCATCTCCCCACTTTTAAGTGAGCTCCATGAGGGCAGGGACTTCGTTTATTTTGTTCACTGGTGCACTTGTCATATAGTTGATGCTATATAAATACCTGTTGACTCCATAACTTGACACTTCCTGTTGTCCTGGATGTTGCAAACTAGTTTTCAGCTTGGTCACTAAAATCAGTATGAAATCTCAAACTTTGTGATACTTAAAGTCATACCATAATGACCTGCCATCAGGAGGGCTTTACATGGGGCTTCCTGGCTATAAGACCCTGAAAATACTAAAAAACAGTAAAGCTTAAAGGTAAATCTCCAAAAGAATTCAAAAAGGATTAGTCACATAAGAGAAGATTCAGTAAACTTTACAGATGAATTTTGCTGAGGTATCTTAAAATCAGAGTTTGAGTTGAAATCAGAAATGGTTATAAAAAATAATGTTCTGTGTTTCTCTAAATGTGTGTGTCTGTGGGTGCTGCTGTGTTTGTGGACATGCACATCATCTTAGAAAAAGACAAATCATGAAAATTCCTAGGTCCGGCCCCAGTTGTATAGTTCCTGACAGTATCTCTTAGGAGGTGAGGTTCAAGAATCCATGTCACTGAGCTAACTGGTAGTTGTGTATTGCTATATTATTATTATTATTATTATTATTATTATTATTATTATTATTGGGGAGGAAACAACTGGCATAGCTCAGGATTCCATTTGGTACTAGGAATCAAATCCAAGGTCTCATTCAAACAAGGCTACTACTCGAGACACATCCCTGGTCTGAGATTCTTATTTTATTTATTTGTGTGTTTCCTTGTTTTTGTAGGGGGGCATAATTTATGGGGCAATGCTTATGGGTTCTCTTGGCCAGGTGCCCTAGGGGTTGCTCCCAGTGGTGCTTGGTAGACCAAGTGGTTCTAGGAACGGAATCTAGGTTCTAGCACCAAGACATGCATTCAGACCTTTGAGCTCTTACACTGGCCCAAGAACCACTATTTTACTTGAAT